TCTTTAATAGTTTTTCTCAGTCTTTTCTGGTGGATCATGTGGTACACTGGGAATATTAAAGTTTCCTCTGAGGATCTGGAGAAGAGGACTTTTGATAATTTTGCGCACTGGGCGCGGAAGCTCTCGTTGCGACTGTCCAAAAAGGGGATGAACAGCGAGAAGTGCATGGATAACATTAAGAAGTCGATGAACGGCGATGTGACGCATCACGCTCCGAAGCGGATAACGTGGGAAAACTCCGGAACCGCGGGATGCGTGAATGAAGCTTACGACCGAAGCTCCGATGCGCCACCGAATGAGAAGACCGTGGAGCTGGAGATCCTGAAGAACTCCGAGATGTTCCTGCAGAGCAGCGGGAAAGCGGAGATATTTCTCTGAACAGAGACTGGTACGTTGACACTTACCTGCTACATGTTCATTTTGGAAAATAACCTAATATGGGACATTCTTCTCGAGCAATTTCACTTTTAAAACTTTTCTTGTGCTGTAGAATATGGAAATATATTTATATTACGAAAATCTATTGCCGACTTTAATAAATATGCACTGGCCTAGAATTATTAAAAGCTGATTTAGTCAAAACGGAGGCAAGAAAATAAACAGGATGGCAATGAATCGCTAAAGTAGAGATTGAGAGGTAGCCTATATTAAAGTGCCAACAGCTCATTTCGATATTTTTAACCATCTTTTGAAATTCTGGTAATATTACAGCCTGCTGATTCATGTAATTTTGTCTAACTGGATGGAGGGTTTTGTAGTGAGACAAACCACCAAAAATGATGTTATGAAGAATCTGAAATCTCTAATTAGTCCTTCATGTGCAGACATTCCGTTTTCGTATCTACATAGTTTTTGTATCTGTCCACTGATTGCACATCTATCGATCTGATCTTTATGAATACTGTGCAGCTACCTGGTATATTCTCATCATTTGATATTCTGCTTTATTGTGTAGGCCCTATGCTACACAGGAAAGTACACGTTCGGACATTGGAGCTTTAAATAGGGATGTTATCAAAGCCGAAAGTAAATTTAATTTACCAATTAAAATGGTATTTGCGAGAAAATGTTTATTTTGATTTGAGAAGTTTCTGCAGTGACACTAAAACCAAAAAAAAAAAAAAAAAAAAAAAAAAAATAAAAATATTT